ACCATTTTATACTGGATGTGCGCTTTTCTCATCGTTACTTTTCATCAGGGTGCTTTTCTTCTGTCACACATTTTGGAATGTGGAATGCGAAGTTCAGTTTGACATCATCACGAAATGTTTCCTATTTTGAACTGTACGAGGAATTTTTAGACGCTCCAATACACGTGGCTCCTCCGAATCCGAGCAACATTCAGAAAATGCGTCGCGATTCACGTCGCCAACAACTTGGTGATGCCCGGGATTTATTCGCATTCCAAAGAGAAAAAAATGTTCATCATAGAGAACTGTATGCAGTCGGAGTAAGATCAAAAGATAAAATTTAACTCCTTAGTCAAAACCCTGTAGTTGCGACCAAAACAAACGTTCGTTTTCAATGTTTTGATCGAGCTATTTTTTCTCATTGATATTTTCATCAGAAAATTTTGACGTCGTGAGCTGTTACAATAAATAATATAGTAGCTCTGGATGTAAACAGAAGAGTGGTGGAAATATCGGATTTATTCACACACTGATAGCGTGCGTAAATAAACTGGCATTCGCTTTGTTATTTTTTTCTTTTCAGAATTTGCATTTGGTGCGTATGCATAGCGAGGAGTAATATCGTATGGGACAGTTGAAGAATGTGCACAATTCCGTTTTTTTTTTCGTTGCGTTGATACCAAGTTTTTCTATTTCGGAGAACAAATTCGCACATCGCGGATCTGGGGTATTTTATGAACTTTTCATCGAGGGATGGAAAAATCTACTGAATCGAAAATAAAATACAATTCTGCTGAACGTCGTATATTTCCGAAGCAAGAAATTCCATTTGAATTACGGCTACAACAAACATGCCAACACTTTTATTCACAATAAAGACCAATGCCCCAAACTCCCTATATAGATGAAGAGAAAAAAATCATAAAATAATTTTGAAGTACGTTACGAAGAAACAACAAGAGATGAAGGGGCGTTAATTCCATCGTAATCCGACCCACGCGAAAAATTCGCGAACGCTCAAGAACAACACGGGTCGCACGTGTTTCCGATTTCCCAGCTCCAGCTGCTGCAAAGCCTTGTAATTTTATTTTTGGACAACCAACGCAATGCTCAACAATTTCTCGGCATTTCCAGACGCTTCACAGATGTTCTTAATAGATTTTTTTCATTTAAAAGGAAATCCAAGCGGCTAACTGAACCTGGCTTGAACTACGACAAAGCTGACAACTGAAACTTATCCATCTTGAGTGATGGACGACGGCGAAAAATTATTCCGCGCGGCCGGGGATCCATCTCAGGAAAATCAATCACATTTTTACCCATGAAATGTTTCCAGAAAACACGATCGTCTGACTTGCGAATGCATTCTTCACTCTGACGTCGACTGGATCCGACGCACGCATACAAACGCAACCTCCTGCAGTCGCTGTATGCGTTCCGCAGAGGCTTGGAAAAACGACTACTGTAACCTTGAGCTACCCTCATCCATTTTTTGCTGGAAATTGGGGCAAGTACTTGTCACGAACTTGCAACGCATGCAATCACTTCCGCCGGATACGGTAATTGCACGCGAACTGCTGTTCTACAATTGCGTCCGCATCATCCGTGGGTATGTTTGTACAATGAATCAACAATGCCCTCTTTTTCCAAGTTTTTTCTCCCATTTGAAATTTGAAAATTTTCAGTGGACGCTAATGTATACGCAATATCGTATGACGTGATTATCGACCGTAACCCCTTCTTATATTAGCAATAATTATGGTGGTGAGGGGTGAACTATACAGGACGTAGAATATTCAAAAATGCCGAAATAAAAAATTATCATTGACCTAATGAAGCCAATTTCGGGTCCAAAGCAGGAGTTTCATTAAAGAATTAGCATTTTTTTAAAATCACAAATGTGATTCAGTGATGCCTGTTTCTCTTTCGCTGATAATTTTTGTTGAAAATTACACGAAAATGTAATAAGGAATACAATCAGTTTCACAGCCTAGTTTTCCTAACCCTCCTGAATCAAAACCATCTTTAAGTCAGAGTATGGTATTGGTCCCTTGAAATTCAATTCGGAAAGGTTTAATTTACATTCAATTTCTTTTTGAAAATGAAGGACCTCGGCCAATGTTTTTTTCCGGCATTCTTCTGGAAAAAAATTGTGACTGGTAATCACGCAGATACGGAATTATAATTTTATTTTTCGAAGGGTTCGACGCCCTGCTTGCTGGGGGAAAAATCACCCTTTTCCGGCCATCGTATGATTCTCCCCGGAAAACTGGGCAAGTCGTCAATCAGCGTTGCGTTGTACCTGATATTCCGCCCGTGGCCCGTTAGCCAGACTGATCATGACAGGAGGGCTCCTAGAAATAACACTGATTTCTCTAGGAAATTGCGGGACTGCCACTTTTTCGAACGAGGCGTTCCTTGGAGTTTGCCCCAATTCCTGGTTTCGCATGCGCAGTGGAGTGCAGAAAGTACACTGCATTTTTTTGAGGCAGAAGATTAAACCGGATGAAATTATTTCCATTCAGAAATGTGTTCCCGCTGAGCGAGAAACAAGAAGCCGCAAGTAGTTCTTCGACTACTTTGTCAACGCTGATCCGTCCTCAGGATTATCAAAGGATTAGTCAGGACTAAATTCATGTACGTGTAATCGTTGTGTTACTGCGTAATGCAACTACAGTATATCTGAAAGAAAAGTCTTATCCAAATGTTCTCGGGATTTGTATTCTTCACGACATCTTTCCTCGTTGGCGATAAGGAAGACAGCAGAAATTCGACCAGAAACGTGAGTTTCAACTCATGGAAAATTTAAAAGAGGCGAGAAAAGGAGAATTTATAGGATTAGCTGACGTTGAAAACAGTTTCTCCTTTCACTTTCAGCTCCCTTCGCGATGTTTTGCAGATAATTCGACAAAGGCAAATGGAAAGAACCGACTTTGGTCTGAATTTTTCAGCTGAAAGTTGTCGGTTAAGTTTAGCAACCGTCGATTCATCTGATCAAACTGTAGTTTTGAGTGAAATGAAGAATCGGTTGAAGGAAACGAACGGGTGCGTGAGATGAATATTTTGAACTGGTACTCGCAGCAAACCCGGATCCACATTGGATTATGCAAATGTTTCAATACGGCTACTCACAAAAGTACTTTCATCGTTCAAGGCATGCAACAGGCGCCTTTATTCAACCCGGGCGTCGGCAGTATTTGATGGTTCCTTCGCATCCGCATCCGTTTTTCTGCCGCCCAAATTCTAACGGGTGTTCGAATGAACTGTCGAGACACCAGGCGTGTGAACGACTTTAAATGAGAAGGGAAGAAAAATGGTATCCTGCCACCTGGCCCTTAATGAAGCCTAAGTATTCCCTTATGCTTATGCTGCAGTTGTTCAACATCAGTAAAAAATATAACATTACAGTCCGTTTCACAGATAGATTTCTGCGTTAAATAAATAAAAAATTACATGTGTAGATGTAAATCCAGTTGCTCGCGACATTTGTAATTTTCAGACGTCACAAAATTATCACGCCATATCTTTCAAGAAATGTGTGGGTGTTGGCTGAACCCATTGGATGACAGACAATTTCTATGGTGGACCCAGACGTCGGGTTCACCTCCTCGATTGGAGCCTGATTCTGAACTTAAGTCCCGTCGACTCTGCGTTCAGAAAAAAAAAGAGAAAAAAACAAATGACGACAACTGGCTAACATCGAAGTGCCGGAAATTTGCACGAACTCGGGCCTTGAGACGTGCAAATATTCTCCGGGTATTCCGACGCACGACCGAAGCCGCCCCGAAAAGAATTGCTGTCGGAAACTCACCTTGGCGCCTAACTCAAATTTCCGACTGTATTAGTTGAAACAAACTTCAGATTTTTCCTTCCGTATCTCGGGGGTATTTGCATGATGATTATCCCATCACCGAAAAAGTCGGGCGTTTTCTATAAACGGAAAGGGAAATGATGATGGCTTTTTTTCGCCAGCTCTTTTTTTTATTTCGAGGATCGGAAGGCCAAGATTTTATTTTTCTTCTACTGGTTTTCTGGGCATGAGTGGAGGTGGAGACTCAGTTTAAGAACTTACTCGCTGGCAACGCTAGAACCCACATGTCTTATTTACAATAATTCAACTGTATTTTTTATGCTGTTCAGCAAGCAAAAAATTGCTAGTCTGACGCAGACCTTTCGGATTTGCCTGATTAAATGATACTTGTGTGGAGATTCCAAAGTTCATAGGAGCTGATCGTCTAATTTGAGTTTCAGATGATTGATAGCTATCAAAAGTATTTAAAATCAATTTCCAGCACCAGGGCTCAGTTCAAGGTTATATCTGATCATATAAAGCCATAACATCAGCATGAAAATACAGAAAATGGATGATTAACATTCCAGATGTCAAAAGGCAAAGTCGAAACTCTCGTCGCGTTTTTTCCAAGATGTAATAGTTTAAAGAATATTGCTTGTCATGCTGGAAAGCCATACTGTCTCAGCTCTATAGATTGGGGGAGATACAGTACTCCTTTTAAAAAGTTATGCTCATTTTTCATCCTAAGTTTACAAAAGACTTCTGCAAATTTTTTGATGCAGTTATAAATGGTTTTCCTATTGGAAGAACTTATTTTACAGTACCTGTACTGTACTGTACTTTGTACGGAAAAATTTATTATTTTGCAAAAAGTCTGTTCGTTCAAGAATATGATTTATCTGAAAAGAGACTTAGCCACGAAGGAATTAGCCTCTGTTTTAAAGGAAGAAATTATCACAATATAATCTAAGAATCTTCATTCGACGCATTTTTGATGCCAACATTTTTTGAAGGTTTTACCTGCATATGCAGTACATTCTTGAATACAATTGAAGATCAGAACATGCAATAAAAAATATTAGTGCTTCTCAACCAGGATTCCTCTCTTTTCTCCTAGTAATCCTTGGGCTTGCTTTGAATTAACTGATTCCCCAAGGAAAATTATAAAATAATTCACGGGGACCACATATTTTTTTCGCCCGCATTTTCGCATGCTCCGTCCCGTCATATGAAGCCCCTGGATGTCCAAAAGGGCTTCTTGGCTGATGGAGGATTTTCCACGGGGACCCAACTGCGAAAGCATGGCGCAAATGGCGGTCAAATGAACAGACAGAAATCATCACTGTTCGCGCATCGCGTGACGGTTAAGCCCCCGCCACCGCCAAATTACATCCTTCGTCGTTCATCCCGTGTTAAATCGGGTTTACGTGGAGACGATGACTCACCGCTGCCCGAAATCGAGCCCATTTCCCCTGAGACTATCGTGAGACTCTTCTCCGGGCATCGCTATACAGTATAGCCGTCACGCTGGCCAAGCAATGATTCACGCCGCCACGGTGGAAGTCATGCGACTGCAGTCATCTGATGAGTGAGCCGAATCGCTTCGGCTCGACTTTGCCGAACGGCCAAAAAAAAAAAATGCCTCGAAGCAATGAAATCGCGTGGAACACTTCGGATTTTTGTTCTCCACTCTCCAGAAATGATTTCATAAACATCGTTGGCGAACCACACAGCTTACGGACGTTTATATAATTTTATATTCCGCCGCGAGGGAAGAATGTCGGTTTTTTCATCCCATGCAATTAAATTTCTCCTTGGATTGCACTTTTTATAAAGACAGGTGACACACTTGGCTGACCAAGGGGCATAAGGTGACAGAAGCATAAATGGAGCACAGGACACTTATCGAAATGCGCATCTTGTGCATTCACATGTAATTGTAAACTTCGTATTTTAAAGCGCGGTCCCGGGTCAAACGCTTGTCTTCAACATGCTATCTCTACTGTGAAATAACAGTAGAAGATTCGAAATCATTCTGATTTGAATTATTCCGGACGTTTTATGCCTTATTGATTCTCAAAATGTGAGTGAATTTTCAAAGATAATATTCAAAGCATAGATCTGTGGGCTTAAGCATTTCGCATTCGAGCTCACGAATGTAACCTATTCATGCCTTTGAATTTATGTCAATACAATTTTTGCCTCGTCATAGAAGAAGCACAGCTCAATTTTGCAGTTACTGTATTATGCATTACTCCAGAACGTCTCTACCTTTTTTGTCAAAATTGAGAGAAAAAGGGTGCGATACAATTTTCCAAAAAATGCTTGAAGTTCAGGTGTGCGTGTGCCTGAAACTAATACATACTGTAATGGGGAATTTTGTAACAGGGACTTTTTAAAATAGAAGGAATCAAAAATTAATTGAATTCGGGTTGAATTCATGTTCAAATTTGAATTGTGGCGTCCCTTATTTTTGGAATACTATTCACTCACTAAAAAGTGTGCCTTGGGGATATGATTTCATCTAAATTCAAGGGTAAAAAATTAGGGTGTCTGTCTTACTCCCGGGTATGAGGTATTTGAGTAAATTCGGTATTTTAATCACCCGTCACAGGAATTTCCAGAATACGATGTACAGTAAATATTACGAGCGAAAAATGTTTCATTAAGATCAGAAACAGTTTTCCGCTATATTTTCGATTATTTTTATTCCTTGTATTCACTGCTGAACAGGAAGACTGATGTTCTAGAACGGCGGTGATCCATTCTATGGCAATTTGAAACGCATGAACTGAAATTATCCCTGCGCAGGTCTCGGAAAGTCGGCGAAGTGTGAAGCCTGTTTTCAACCGCCACGGGAAGAAAGTGAAGCTCTCGTTACGCTGCATATCCGTTTCCTCACTCCTCCAGGTCAAGATAAGCATCTAGTTGATTATCTAGTTCTGCTCCCCTTACCCTTTCTCTTTCCTTATCTTCAGGCACGTGAAGGTGGTGGGGAATTTGATAATCAAATGAATAAAAAAAAATAGCCTGATGAAAAATCCCCCCTGCAATTTCCTGAGTCAAAAGCTGTCACCCTATATTGGCATGGAACTGTTTCCGTTAGTACGAGATTTTTGCTGATGATTCGAAACGCACTTGTACGTGCATCTCGATTGAACATTCTTCTTCTCTCGTCCCCAATTTACGTACTGTAGAGGATGCAATTTGGAAAAGTCAGGAAGAGGCACGTCCAAAACGCATGAAAGACAGCACCGGGGAGTGGAATGCAGCCGGTAAATTCAAATATCCTGCTCAGGAAGAGAGAAAAATAAATGAATAAAAATAAAGGAAAAATCCATTCAAAAGATATATACGCCGGCGGAGCGCTTGCGACCACAGCCCTTTCTGCTGTTGCGCATGGCCATGCCCCGAACGCGCATAAGTCCGTCGTCAGTAAAAGGTAAAATTGATGAAAATCACGCGTTCAACAAGTTCTTGGGACAAGACTTACGTAAGAAAATATCCGAACTTATCAAGGAACGGTTTTTAATAAAAGGAAATCAACAAATTCGCTAGCTAGAAATTTATGATAGTCGGGGCATGGGGAAGCCGCGTTTCCAGTTGCGCCGGCTGCCAGCGCGCTTGTAAGGCAGCTCGTGGAATGTTCTAGGCCTCAGTCCACGGCTATATAAGGCATCGTAGACGAAAATCCATTCAGTTCACGATTTCATGCTGTGAGTCCGAGTTGTGTGCTCGAAAGCTGTTTTAAGATCGCGTATATTTTTTGTTCAACTATCGTTTTAATCACGTAAGTGTCATCGCCGAATGTGCGCGTGTGTATTGGTGGATTATATCATCTTGGCGTTTTATATATCCTGCAGTGTCCGAAGAAGGCAACATGGGGATTGACTTGTACTACATGCCCTTGAGTGCTCCTTGCCGGTCAATTATATTGACTGCCAAGGCCATTGGCGTTGATTTGAACTTGAAGCTCACCAGCATTCCAGAGAAGCAGAACATGACTCCGGAATACATCAAGGTTTGTTTTTAAGTCTCCAGTTATCCATCTGGACTGCGTTTTAATTGTAAACTTTTACTTGAGTGCAGATGAACATCCGTCACACTATCCCGACGCTGGATGATAACGGATTTGTCGTCGTTGAAAGGTGCGTTGTTTATACTGAGTCGTGCCCATACGAGGGTTGTCCCACTTCTGACGTTCGGTATTTTTAGGGTAGGTACCACTTCATGAAATGTGATTTAGCCCATGCAATTGTAAGGTTCTTAAATTTTTTCATATATCTGAAATATCTTTACTTTACTGCGTGTCAAGTGGAAACTTTCTGGTTTTGGTGAGTGTTCTCCGCCCATATCACAAGATATTGAAATTGTTTCAGGGCAGACAAAAAATTTATAACTTTGAGTTGCTCTTAGCAAAAATTAATGAAGACTTCTACACCTTGTTTAATTTTCAAATTTGTTGAATGATGCAAAGTAATTGGGCAAAAGAATTTGAACAGCACGAGATTTAGGAAAGTATGTGTTATAAACAAAATAAAATTCACAAATTTTCGTCTGGCCGGAGAAATTTCAGTAGCTTGTGACATGGGTGGGGAACCCTCACCAAAACCGGAAAGTTATCATGCGGAAAATCTGGCTTTGAAATTAATGAAATAATTTAAGTATCTGAAAGAAATTCCTAAGCCATACAATACATGGTCTGTATTATAAAAGTTTTTCGAATTGGTACCTACTCTGGGAATGTCATAAGGTCAGACAATCCTCGTATACTCTTCTTCAGCATTGCGAAGTGTTGAGGTGTGGAGTCATCGTGGCATTTGTGAATATGTTCGCTCCCTTCAAGCATTTTCCGCTTGAGGGCATGAGCCACGTCTGCTGGAGGTGGTTGAACTGCTGCTGGAATGTGTTCAAGGAAGTAAAAAAAAAAAAAAGGAAATTAAATGACGAGCATACTTCACTGTGTGCGCGGGTTTTGTTTCCCACCACAAAATTCACAGAAACGTCGCCTCTCGGGCGGGTTTCTTTTTGACGCCTCTTGACGTGGGTGTTTTTATCTTCGATTTCAGCCGGGCCGCGGTGCAGTATCTCATGAACAAATACGCTCCCGATAATGAATTGTACCCGAATGATCCCCAAAAACGAGCCAGGGTTGACGATTTACTCTTCTTCGATGCCTGTGTCCTGTACGACCGTTTTGGTCAGTATGTGGTAAGTGCATCAAACATCATTTTATTTAAAAATTTTATTTTTCTACAAAAATTTCCCTTGTACGCCCATGAGTCACAACTTCGACTTCCACGCGTATACTTACATCTCTCGAAATGTTCAATTCCAAAATATGCTTGGAAATAATCCGATGGATTTCAAGTTGAAAATACGTTCGCATCGCTTTTTTCATTGAAAACATGCTTCCATTCTTCAGAAAAAAATTGTATGCGTGGTAATTCAAATGGAAAGTCTTCTAGAAAAACAGTACAAGCATAAGCTTCCTTTTGCCGGGGGAATTCTTCATTCTGGAAGTCGAGGCGAAAGGAATACAGTACTGTACTGTACTCGTATGATTTGTATGATATATTTTCTTTTTAATGGGAGATATGCTTAGTAAGGGTGAATAAAATGAAAAGTTCTCAAGTTTCCTAAAACTAAAGATAAACGAGGAACGTGAACGCAAAATGAAATATGCTGGAAAACATTTTCACCACTACATGTGATTATTGCCAAGAATGGTCCCAGGATGAAAGTGAGCCAGGGGAATGATTTTTTACTTTTATATCCATTAGTACCCCGCTGCTTTTGGCGGCGATTCCTTGAATGAGGAAAAGAAGCAGAAACTGGATGATGGCTTGGGATTTTTGGACCATTACATCAAGCAGAATGGCGGTTACGTGGCCGGAGATAAACTGACGGTCGCTGACTTGTCTTGTGTTGCTTCAGTTTCTTCCATGAAGGTGAATCATTCAGCTTATTCAATTTTGAATTGTTGATAGCCACTTTTGTTTTTTTTAGGCAACTGGTGTCGTCGATTTAAGCAAGTTTGAGAACATCACTGCCTGGCTGGCAAAATGCGAGTCCGAGGTGGTTGCCTATGAGGAGGCGAATGGCGAAGGTGCCAAATCTTTTGGTGGTATTTTTAGGCAACTGGTGTCGTCGATTTAAGCAAGTTTGAGAACATCACTGCCTGGCTGGCAAAATGCGAGTCCGAGGTGGTTGCCTATGAGGAGGCGAATGGCGAGGGTGCCAAATCTTTTGGTGGTTGGATTGCGTCCATGATCAAAAAGGAATGAAGCTTTTAAATTTGGGCGATAGCCACTTCAATTTTTGTGGATATTGTCAGTATCGTGTGCTCTACGCTTGGGAAATTTGGAAAGTTTTAATGCAGTTCGTGGAAACTTTTGCACGTCATGTTTTAATGCGGGAATCCCTTTGATTTGCGGATATTTCGGTCAAGGCAAATGTTGCGGCAGCCTACTGCTTATTCTTTTCAATTGTTCGGTTCATTCTCGGGAATGCCAACATCGGGTTTACGAGCGATACGATTTTTGTGACTAAAGCGTGTATTGAGAATTGAGATGTCTTTTAATTATGGTTGGAATTTTTCTCTTGAAGTTGGGTTGCCTCTGACTGTTATCGTATATGTTTCTTACTTATATTTATGCATCTAAAATATGCATTGGAGACAAGGACTGGGAGCTGTGAAGGTTCTCCTGTACAATATGTTGAATTATCTTTTTAAATTGTTATGCAACCCAAGTGAGCCACCTTGGGAATCTATTTGAGAAGAAACAATTTATAAAAGCAAGTTAAATTAGAAGCACTGGAGAGATCAAATTCCCCGATGTAAAATATTTTCGAATTCTTTTTGAAATTTGCAACGCATGAACGAGTCGGAAGTTCTTTCTTGCATTCATGGATTGAAGTTAGCTCATCAAAATCAAATTCAGGATTTTATGAAGTATGGTGGTTGAACTTGAGTTATGTGAAATGTTGCTAACTCATGATAGTCGTACCTCAGTACTCATTGAACTTGTGTTTGGTAATATGGAGTTCTAGACCTTCTGATTCAATTTCTGCAAGATCCTCATCCTAAATTACACAATCAAATTCTATGTGATTATATGGAGGGTCTCAAAATGGAGAACGCGCATGGGTTACCTTCAGGAAATCAACATTGGCATTTGAGTGGAGCATCAGCTGAGGGTACCCGACATTTACTGGTTTTTGGGCTGGCCGGCTGGGAGGGTGGCTCCTAAATTTGAGTTCAAGTCCTGCTAGGTGTATTCTATTCACTGATATTTTCTTGCAGTTTTAAATTTCTAGAGAACGTAGCTTTTATTTTTAATAATTCTGAACCCTTTCAAAATTCATCTTCATACAGCACTGTTTGTGTTGCTCCATGTCTGATGATCTTGGGAATGCCTGGCATTCTTATGAACTTGGGAAACCAACATCTGCTGGATTTGAAAGCATGGTCTTGTGTGTCTTCGGTTCGGCTTCGAAATATTTCCCCCAGATTTATGACTGACAGAAATCTCCAGCCATTTTTTTTCATCTTGGACCCAGCAGATCAGCAAATCGTTGCCATTTTCTCCATGACTTCACGTTTTTTTCGGAGATGATGCTGATTTTCCTGCATCCATTACTTAGGAAATGCAATATTTGACTTCTGTTGGGGTTCTTCGCCAAAGATAAGATTGTTGCTGCATCAATTTCTGATTGAAGAGCGCCAAAAGCAAATTTATCATTTAATTGTGAATGAATTATTTTTAATGAAATTATTTGCTTTTTTTGCTTTACTGTGGAATATAATATCAACATCGATTTTTTGCATAAAATGCGTATGCTGCTCTTCATAACATTATTTCAAATGCAACATCCATCCTTATACCATTTTGGAAATCTTTCAGCTTTTATAATTTTCAAAAGCTGCACAGATTAATTTCACTCCAAATAACACAGGAATGTCTATACAAAAAATGAATGGATGCATTTGACATCAGTTAATTTTGGAATTGTAGAATTGGCTAATATGCGTTGCTTTTGATCTTACTTGAGTCAAAATCTCAAAGCAATGTGTAAGGTAATTGCACTTTTTCCAATCAGTTTGATTGTGCTAGGTTTTGGGTGAAAGCAGTATTCAAGATTGATTTCTGGGAACCGTGTCAAATTCTCCGGAAGTTGTACAATCCTTATTGTATAGTCACAGCTGTCCCATGCAAGCAAACGCAGTGCTGCTCCATTCTCATCGCCAGAACAATAACAAAAATTTGGAACTGCGTTGGAATGTGGAGTGTTCTAGAATCTGATTTTTTAGGAAGAATTGTTAGATCCAGTTGGTACCATGCAAGCAAACGCAGTGCTGCTCCATTCTCATCGCCAGAACAATAACAAAAATTTGGAACTGCGTTGGAATGTGGAGTGTTCTAGAATCTGATTTTTTAGGAAGAATTGTTAGATCCAGTTGGTCACGTGCAAAACAATTGTCCGTGATTTCCCATGGAGCTCTGTGAATGACATAAGGCAAAAGATACGGCAAAATCTTCCTCAGTGTGTTCAAAAATCTGCTGCTTGTAGTACAGGTGCGTCAAATTCATGTTTCTGCAGATCAGTCTAGATATTGTACAGTACTTTTGATGTAGAAGCCCATGTCTCTGCTTTATGACAGTAAATCGTCGGTGAGCTTAGACAAAGTAAAAGCTCCTTATGTTCCTTACCGAGTAAAGTCTACAAATTCTAATCTCATATAACTAAAAGTGCACGTGGTACCTTTATGAGAGGTCGTTAAAAATATGATTTTCACTTAATTTTCTTTTTAAATATCCCGCGAACCTTCGAACGGCCTTTGTTAGGTCACTTGATCTGAGCAGTGACCCAGTTCCGTGAGAAATGAATCAAGGAACTCTCGTGTTTTTGAGAACATGCTTGTTTCTTTGTATGATAATCCCTCCGAGTTTGTCAGCAATTGGAACCTGCATGTCCTGGGATGAACTTCGATTATTCATAAGGGAGAAGTGCAAGGAACGTCCCTCAGGTGCAATCAGAGATTTGATATGGCCAACTGGTTCCCTCGACTGGATACAACTGCACAGAGTTTATGAGAAGATTATACTGATGATTGACCAGAGCAAATTTGATTTTTCAAGAAACACCATTCCACGTGGTAAGTCGAAATTTTAAATGCTGTTCATTTGTATCTGTATACCATGCCAAGTCGCGGATGATGGTCGATTGTCACTAANCTGATGATTGACCAGAGCAAATTTGATTTTTCAAGAAACACCATTCCACGTGGTAAGTCGAAATTTTAAATGCTGTTCATTTGTATCTGTATACCATGCCAAGTCGCGGATGATGGTCGATTGTCACTAAATGCAATTTAAAAATTATTTGGCTCTCTCATCTTACTCTGGAAACATTTTCAAACCCAGAGATCCACAAACATTCTCGTCTGTGTTTCCCAGTCAGGGAAACGAGCATTTTTGCTGGAGGTGAAATTAAAAATGAATAAAAATTATTTGGCTCTCTCATCTTACTCTGGAAACATTTTCAAACCCAGAGATCCACAAACATTCTCGTCTGTGTTTCCCAGTCAGGGAAACGAGCATTTTTGCTGGAGGTGAAATTAAAAATGACAGGAAGATAAAATTGAGGATATTCTGGGGCTTAAGCTGCTGAAAAAATGTGCTGAACCTCGAAGCGAGGGTATGCAGTATTTGCACAATGTATTCCTTGCTTCCTTTTTAAAAGCATTGTTACATTTATATTGCTCTTCTCATTCCTGAATCCCCAGAAAGAAAAAAAAAACAGTAATTCAAAGGATTCTCATAATCTTGAGATAATTTTTTAGATATTTTTTTTAATTTTCTCATAATTTTACGCTTCAAAATGTTTGAGGGAAGAAGTCTTTCAGTTTGGGAGGGACAGTATATGTAAGAATATGCATTACTTTTTTTTCAAAGGAATTCAGACATGGACTATCATTTGACGTAGGGATATTTTTCACTTGAAGATGTTTCACTTTGGCAGGTCCAACTGGGCCTACTCAGTGCATTTATGTGGCTAGATACAGCAATTAATCAAAGCTTTTTTTACGCTTTAAAATTCTTCTTTTTCAACATGGGTTATATCGATATTATCCGGCAGGGTTTGGAGAATACCGGATTGCAGAAGCTTTGGAAATGCAACCCAGGCCCATCATGATGAGTTACCTGATGGATGGTCTTAACTTTTGGCGTAATCAATTGAGTCACCCACTGCTAACCGGAAGGAAGAAAAGGAGCACGTCACTTCTGAGCTCAACTGAACAGATCATGACGTGGTTTGTGCTAAATTGTGCTTGCGTAAAAAATTGTGAAGCTCTGGCATTGCCGTCAGTGTTCAATTCACTGTGTGTGAGCCTCATGCTTGATTTATAACTCAAAAAAGAGGAAAAATATACAAACAAATTTTCATTTGCCATTAATTTTAATTTTGTAATCCGATTTTCGTTTCCAATTTGAGGAATGCTGTATATTGACACACGAACATACAATTCAATGCACATTCAGCACTTTTGTATACCTGTTCAAATAGATAAAGCCTGCGAACGAATTTATCAAATGGCAAACCTTCGTGCCACACTCAATAAAAGTCTGGGGGCTAAAAATGAATTTTGCAGCCTGATTTAAATTGACCTCGGTGAGCTGAAAATTTTCTAATTTTTCATTCATCTGAACAATGAAACTAACGCGTGATTCTGGAGCATATACACGTGTCGCCATTCGGAAGGACGGTTCGTAGTTTTCAAGATGAAGCCGTTGACTTGACACTTAACGCGCGTTCTTCAGCATCGGAATGGAAGAACCCATACTGTGGGGTGTTAGGTTACGGATATCCTGGTTCATTTGACGTCGTTTTCCCTCCACACAACGTAAAACTGAGCTATTTTCTCCTTGGAGTT